GAGTGCTGTGTTCAGTTCTGGGCCCCTCACGACAAGAAAGACCTTGAGGTGCTGGAGCGAGTCCAGAGAAGGGCAATGAAGGTGGTGACGGGTCTGGAGCACAAGTGTGATGGGGAGCGGCTGAGGGAGCTGGGGGTGTTTGGTCTGGAGGAGAGGAGGCTGAGGGGAGACCTGATCGCTCTACAATGACCTGAAAGGAGGGTGTAGTGAGGTGGGGGCTGGTCTCTTCTCCCAAGTAACAAGCAATAGGACAAGAGGAAATGACCTCAAGTTGTGCTGGGTAGGTTTAGACTGGATATTAGGAGGAATATCGTCACCGAAAGGGTTGTCAAGCACTGGAAGAGGCTGTCCAGGGAAGTGATTGAGTCAACATCTCTGGAGGTATGTAAAAGACGTGTAGGTGTGGTGCTTAGGGCCATGGCTTAGTGGTGGACTTGGCCGTGCTAGGTCAATGGTTGGACGTGATGATTTTAAAGGTTCTTTTCAACCTAAACTATTCTATGATTCTATGATAAAGAAATGACACAATTAAAAGGGCACAGAGCAGTAAGTCAGTGGCAACTGGAGTGATGCTGTGTCTGCAGCTCATGGCTTTGATGTGTCCAAGCGAGCAGCTCTCTCCACCGTCAGCGGCGGGGAAGGCATCTGAAGGGATCAGCCCTCTGAGCAACTCTTGCAGGAGACTACGCAGCTGTGGTGTCACTTGGAGGTGTCTTTAGTCTAGCTTCTCCAGGTCCCTATATGTGACAAAGTCTCACCTTTCCAAGTACAAAATATACACACCTTTTAAATTACTAATTTATAAAAAGCCTGTTTTCGACAATAGATGTTGTTACTTGCTTGAGAGCCATCCAACCAAGCTGTAAATTTAATCCTAGTTTTATCCCTTTGAAAGCAAAAATTTTAAAAGAAACCTTTGGGTTTTTTTTTCCCCCATGTTTCTATTTAAACTGAAATATATTTTTAATTCTCATTATTGTAGACAAAGTAAGCATTCTCTAAAGCAAATACCTCGGTGAGGGAAGGGGAAACTTGATTCTGGATTTCCGAAGTGGTGGGGGGCAGCGTTGCTGCATCTGACGGCGCGGCTGCCCCGCGGGGTTG